ACCATTCATCTGCTAAAACATCATTCAATCAGAAAAAACCATTCATCTCCTAAAGCACCATTCAATCATAATCAAAAAAATTGAGTGAATAAACATTATTCATCTCCTAAAACACCATTCAATCATATTGAGATACACTGTTGTTGGTTGTGGAATCAGTTGAAGCATCTCTTTCACCAAAATTTTCAACAATTTGAAGTTTATTCGGTGTCTCTGTCTCATCTTCCATCTACCAAAACAAAAAACAATCAAAGTAAAATCAAAAGTTGAAAAATAGAACATGAAAGAGACATAAAAGACATAAGGGAAGGGAAGAGAGGCGGAAGAAAGAGACATAAAAATCAAAGTAAAATCAGAAGTTTGAGACTTTGAGTCTTTGAGACTCTTCGGTCTTCACTGAAGAGAAGAGAGGCGGAAAAATCTAAGTGAGTGAGGGGGTGTGTAAAAAATGAATAAGCCTAACCCTAAAATTTTAGTGTAGAATTTATATAAGTACATATAGTTTCGGATTTCGGATCAGATCGGATTTAGATCATACCAATCCGAATCCAATCCGAAAATCCGAAATTTTATAAAACACAATCCGTATCCAATCCGAAATCCGAAATCCGAAATTCAAAAATCCGAAATAGAGTGGATCGGATCGGATTTCTGATATCCGATCCAAATGCACAGCCCTAAATAGAAGGACAAATCTTCAGTTTGGTTTAAAATACATTGATCGGCTATTTTTGGAATAACAGTTCTTCCGCTGGCGTTTAAGTATGCTAATTCATCCTCTGGTCCTTTCTGTACTCTCAATATGAGATGGAAGAAACTGGTAATATTTCACTGGAAAACGGTAAAGAATCAACAAGTAGTGGACTGAGCAAAATCAGAGATGGTTATGTATAGGAACTATTTCAAAGTAACTCCAGAAAATCCCATATAGATCATAGTTTTAATACACTGTATAAGAATTACATATAAGACTCATAGAGTCGTAATGAATCATGAAACAAGGTACATTTCAGATGAAATACTGGAAATGAACTATATTATATAATCATAGCAGAAAGTATCCAATATATGTCCTGTGAAAATAACTCCATGTCATGTCTCATGAGCAAACTTCACAGACTGAGGTGGCACATCTCAAAACCTCATTTGGGTACCATATGTAATTACTCAAGGTGTTTCGGGTTTGTAAGGTGGAGAAAGTGAAGGAAATGGTATCTCCTTTGGTAGGCTTGGGGAGGTTGGCAATGTTGGTTTAGGCAGTTCTGGGATTTCTGGTTTTGGGATAGCTGGAATCTCTGGCTTAGGTAGCTCGGGGATTTTTGGCTTTGGTAGCTCTGGGATTTCTGGCTTTGGCACAGCTGGAATCTCAGGTTTTGGCACCGCTGGTTGCTCGGGCTTTGGCATAGTCGGCACATCAGGCTTTGTCATAGCTGGAGGAAGCTCAATCTTCGGCATAGCTGGAACCTCTGGCTTTTTTGGGGGAGGAAGCTCGGGTTTTGACAACTTTGGGATCTCCGGCTTTGGCACGGCTGGAATCTCAGGCTTTGGCACTGCTGGGATCTCAGGCTTCGGGAAAGTTGGTAGCTCAGGCTTTGGAACAACTGGTAGCTCAGGCTTTGGCATGGTAGTAATCTCAGGCTTTGGAACCGTTGGGATTTCAGGCTTTGGTGCATTTGGCAACTCGGGTTTTGGCATTGCTGGGATCTCAGGCTTTGGCATAGCTGGAAGCTTGGGCTTTGGCGCAGGTGGGATCTCGGGTTTTAGCAAAGTTGGTAACTCAGGCTTCGGGATAGCTGGCAGCTCAGGCTTTGGCACCGTTGGTACTTCAGGCTTTGGCATAACAGGAATTTCAGGCTTTGGTATGGCTGGAAGCTCAGGCTTCGGCACAGTTGGGATCTCAGGCTTTGGCAAAGTTGGAACTTTTGGGAATTCTGGTTGAGGAATCTCAGGGAGGGGCGTCTCTAGAAGGCGACGTGCAGTTACACATGTAATGTGGCCATTCATTAAGCATAAATTGAGAAATGCAAGCAGTAAGAGGGAGGATATGTGGTGATGCTTAGCCATATTTCTGCAAATCCTAGAAGCTTAAAGAAGAATGTGTATAGAATCAGTGAAATTCGGATGTGGCATTGGATTTAAGGCTGTTGTTATATATAGGTTTTACATGCATGCAAACAAGGAGAACATTATTTTTGGTTGTTGGGAAGGGATATGTTAGTTGAACTTCTCATCTATTTGCCTGCCAATATTATCTTGAATTTTTCTTCTGGTAGCTCAAAATCTGTTTATTAACAATATATACTATCTACTACTATACCATAATAGTCAAAACCTGTCATTATCACATCTAATAAGCTGGCACTTGGTAGAAAACATTGATCAGTTGCTTCAACTTCCTTGCAAAGAAATCAATCTCGCTGCGTCGCATTTTACGTAACCTTCGTTTGGTTACTGACTATTAATGGCTAAAGAAGGGGAACTGCGAGAATTTATTTGTGCCTAAGAAAAAGTCATTAACGTAATTTTTCAATGCAGCTAAAGAATTGTTGGATCTACACCTAGTTAATATGATCATCCAGAAAGCAAAATGTGTAAAAAAAATGCCTTACGCATAACCTGTTGGGTTTTTAAGCTATTAATGCTTAAAATAGGGTGAATGGGAAATGGAGGGAAAAATGAAATATTTTAGTAATATTTGAGTTTCCCTCCTTGATTGTCCCATATGGGAAGAGGAAAATATTTTTGATGGGTATATAAGCAATTGCTCTTCTTCCAACTCATAAAGAGTTGAGAAGAAGGCATGTTTTTGATGGGTATATAAGCAATTGCTCTTCTTCCAGCTCATAAAGAGTTGAGAAGAAGGCAAGCCTCGCGCCGTCGTCGCTCGGCTCTGCTTCGGATCGATTGATTAATTTTTGGACCAAATTTATTTGTTAATAGTAAATGTTGACAGAAATGTTATTAAATATTTGGTTTAATAACAAAATATTAATATTAAAATAAATATTAATATTAAATCCAATTCAGTTATCCAATTTTCAGTTTTCTGTTTTTGTAACAGAAAATTAACTACCCTTCAATTTTCCCTTTTTATTGTTGAGTAAATAGCCATTTATGTTATGGCATTTATTCTTTGGCCGTTTTGCAAAAAACAGCCATTCTGAAGAGTTGCACCTCTTCAGATTTCAGCCCAACTTTGGCTATAAATACAAGTCCATTCTCTCAGATTTCCCATACGAATTTTCTGAGTTCTTCTCCTTTCTTCTGCACATTTTAACTTCAAAGAAAGCAACAGTAAGTGTGATTTGCTACCGAACTTTGTGTTCGCTGAAACACTGGGGTTTGAAGTACCACTACACCAGTGTGTAATTCGTTCTATCCTGAGAGGAAATAATCCATAACTTTGGGTACTAGGAGAGGATTAAATTTCTTAAGGAAACACTGTGAATTCAGTGGGCTCAAATTGTTTTTATTCATTTATTTCGTTTACATTTCTGTTTATGTTATTTTATTTTCTCCAGAATTGTTTTACAAATACAGATCACTAACATAACCTAGTAGAGGTTTTGTTAACTCAAAATTTGCAATCACAATGTAATTGATGTCCTTTCTATATTTGTTGCTTTTCTAATTTAATGAAAGTAAACCAGAGGCGAGCTAAAGAAAACACCTCATGCCTGGTAAATCAAATAATTGAACTTGACAAGGTAAGAATTATATACCACACAATGTTACGGTAAAGGTGGTACTGCTGGTTCATTCTAAAATCATTGAACTTTGGACTAATTTTTTTTTTTCAAAATACAAATAAAAACTCCCTCAGACCTGTTTTCTTGTGACATTGTTTGACTGGATGCGGCATTTCAGATATTATTTTGAATTGTATGTATTAGTAGTGAAAAAATATTTTATGAAGCCAACGATAAGTTAATTTTGAAGCACAAAAAATTAAGTACATCAAAATTAAGGATTTTGGTAATTTATAAATGAAATATTTGAATTATTAAAAGTTGTGAAAATTTACGGAACAATATTAGTATTAGTTAAAAAAGTAGTGCTGGTAACATTTCTGAGACGACCTAGTATAAATGGAGCCTTAAAATAACTTCGGACAACTAGAGGGCACATTACGAAAATGGCTGAAGCTTACACTTGCAAGTTTTATCATATTTTTGCTGTCAACAGTGAAAACAAAGGGATTTGCAGTATATGAATAATGAAATATAATAGCAATGAACAAAATAAAAGACAGGGGAAGTCTCAATCACCAGAATTCTTAATTCATATAGAGATTTGACCATCAACTACCGATTGATTAATTTATTCCTACAAAATATAATAATTTCTATTGCAGAATCCGGAGCATAAAGAAAGATAAAATTCTCTGGTTTCTTATGCTTTTTTAGTTAGTTCATATGTTCCAAGCTATCAATCAGTCAACAAATTAACACAACCCTCCCTCTTGAGACGAACCAAGTACGTACCCCATTTGTTCTTAATCTTTCTTTTAGAGAAATGCGAAATTGCGATAACTGAATCCAGTGTGCATCAGGATGAATGATAGAAAGCAACAAAAGACTAAAATCTCCGTTTTGGTTCTAAAATACATCAAAATGTTAAATGAGAATGGAAAAAATTAGTAACAGGTTAAAGAAAAACAGAAGCCGGAAGAGCCAAGACAAACAATGATTGATCAAAATCAGAGATGGCCAACAAAAGGAACTAAATCAAAGTAACTTCAAAAGGTGACAGAGATCATATCTTTATACAGAAAGTACATAAATGATAAAACACTCATATAAAATATAATGACAAGCGAAACATAGCACATCAAATACTACAAATGAATTTATATTCTACTCCTAGCAGAAAGTATCCAATATGTTCTTCCAAACTTTCTCCATGTCACGGCCCATATAGCAAAACTCATAGACTGAGATAGCAATTTTAAGCATCAGTTTGGGTACTTTCTAATGGAGTGAACAGTAGGACTTAGTTATTCAAGGAGTGGAGGGTTTGTATGGTGGAGAAAGTGAAGGAAAAGTTAGTTTAGGCCGTTCGGGGATTTTAGGCTTTGGCATAGCTGGAAATTCTGGTTTAGGCAGTTCGGGGATTTTAGGCTTTGGAAGCTCTGGGAGTTTTGGCTTTGGTAGCTCCGGGATTTCTGGCTTTGGCATAGCTGGGATCTCAGGCTTTGGCAAAGCTGGAACTTCAGGCTTTTTCATAGGCGGAGGAACCTCAGTCTTTGGCACTGCTGGGATTTCTGGCTTTTTCAAGGGAGGAAGCTCGGGTTTTGGCATTGCTGGAATCTCAGGCTTTGGCATAGCGGGAAGCTCGGGTTTTGGCACAGCTGGGATCTCATGCTTTGGGAAAGTTGGAGGCTTTGGGGCAGCTGGTAGCTCGGGCTTAGGCACAGTTGGTACTTCAGGCTTTGGCAAAGTTGGTAACTCAGGTTTTCGGATGGTTGGTAGCTCGGGCTTTGGCACAGTTGGTACTTCAGGCTTTGGTAAAGTTGGTAACTCTGGCTTTGGGACAGTTGGTAACTCAGGCTTTGGGATGGATGGTAGCTCGGGCTTTGGCACAGTTGGTACTTCAGGTTTTGGCATAATAGGAATCTCAGGCTTTGGGACAGCTGGCATTTCAGGCTTTGGGATGGTTGGAAGCTCAGGTTTCGGCAAAATTGGGATCTCAGGCTTTGGTATGGCTGGAATCTCAGGTTTCAGCACAGTTGGGATCTCAGGCTTTGGCAAGGTTGGAACTTTTGGTAATTCTAGTTTAGGAATCTCAGGGAGGGGTGTCTCTAGTAGGCGCCGTGCAGTTGCACCAGTTATGGGGCCATGCATGAAGCTCAAGTTGAGAAATGCAAGTAGTAAGAGGGAGGATAGCTGGTAATGGTGAGCCATTTTTCTGCAGATCCTAGAAGCTTAAAGAAAATGTGTAGAATTAATGAAACTGGGATGTGTGCTATTGGCTTTAAGTCTATTGCTATATATAGGTTTTTAAAATGCATGCAACAGTAGCTTCAAGGACCTGAGTAGTTGAACTTCTCATCCACTTGGCTTCAGCTCTGGTACCTCAAAAGTCAATGTGGATTACCTAATTAACATATCAAAAGTCTGAACCTGTCACAAATATATGGTATGCTGGCAACCTGATACCAATTCTCAGTTTAGCTGTTCTTATTTCTTTAGAAAGAGAAAAGTCATCGGTTCACATTTACTGTAAATCTTCATTTCGGTATGTACGTAATGGCTCTATCACCTGAGGAAATTGACAGGAATTACAAATGTCAAACAGAAAGGTATTGCTTCATATTTTCCATCTGGCTAAAGGGAGTAATGTTTTAACGGTTAATATGACCATTAGAGGGCGCAACATGACGAAATAGATGACCAGATGTAGGGAAATCGTTAATTTACCTCATTATTCACATATTACCCATTATTCTTTTTTCTAAACTAGCTACATTAGAATTGTAAGTACAGAGGTAGGCAAAAGAGTGACACTTCAAGCCTAACGGATTAAAACAGAGGGAAAAAGGAACTTGGTTTTACAGAGCACACACTTACCATAATGGGGTACACTTGGCATAATCTGATTATTCTTTAGGTTCAAATGAAACACTTTTGACAGTTTATACAATTTTCCAATAAATGGAAAAGACAATAGCATATCAAATCCAGACTCATGAATAGTTGCATTGCATATAGCATTGTTATTGATCCAGGTAAAATAACAATGAGCCCGCTGTATTGAAAGTATACAGCAGATGATTCTTTTACAATTGGTAAATGGATCTCGCACTTGACAATTATATCACATTCAGCCTTTCAGCATAGAAACAATGAAATTTTTAGTACAAGTAAATTGAGACAAATACATAAACAGGGTATTATAAGAGATTCAGCTCCAAAGTTCCCGAATTTTAATAGAGACTAGATTATCCAATCTAGAATTCTTCCCACAACCATGAGTGCACTATTCAAAGGTACAGTGTAGATAGTCATTGTAGCTACCGTGAATTGTGATCTATCCCCTTCAGCTTTTGTCATTAATCCATGAGAAAGGTTTGGAACTTCATTGTTTACAAGAAATAGAAATATGTATATTGGTGTATGTAGTACCGGATAAATGAAAAAGATACCAACTTTAAAGGTCACGATTATTGAAGATTTGATTAAGTAAATGAAAATGTACCCTTCCTAACAATTTATAATTTAGATGAAATAGTCACACAATTCAACATGTATTAGAGCAGACAGAGGTCCAAGATTTAAGACTCACCACCACCTATTATTAAAAAATACCATATGTTGGGGAATAAATTAACTTGAATGTTAGATGAGATGGTCGCACAATAAAGTGTTAGAGCTTTTTTGTAATAAGGAATGTGTTAGAGAAATTTTAGCTAGTTCATATGCCCATAACTATCAATTGCTCCACAAGCACAATCTCCCCCTTGAGAAGAACCTAGTATCCCCATTGTTTTTTATGTTTCTTTTAGAGTATGCAAAATTGTGGTAACTGAATCCGATGTGCATTAGGATAAATGAAACAGAAAGCAACAAATGCTTGAATATTTGGTTCATTTCTTGTATTTGAGATCAGATTATTCTACCGGCGCTTAAATATGTTAATTCATCTTTCCATCTCTTTGTGAAGGAAGAAAGTGGTAATAGGTTTTAAACAAACGAAGGGGAGTAGGGGTAAAAAAGGATTGAGCAAAATCAGATATGGCCAAAGATAGGCACTAAATAAAAGTGACATAGATAAACACTGTATTGAAAGTACATAAAACACTCATATGGTATACTGACACGATAAACATGATACATCCAATGAAACATGGTACATCCAATTCAAATGCTATAAAAGAATCATAATTTCTACTCCTAGCAGAAAGTATCCAATATGTTCTGCCAAACTATCTCCATGTCATGCCCACGCAGCAAACTTCATAGACAAAGATGGAAATCTCAAAACACGATTGGGTGCCTTCGAATAGAGTGAACAGTATTGTAATTACTCAAGGAGTAGCGGGTTTGTGTGGTGGAGAAAGTGAAGGAAAAGGTATCTCTTTTGGTTTAGGCAGTTCTGGGATTTCAGGCTTTGGCATAGCTGGGACTTCGGGCTTTGGAAGCTCTGGTAGTTTTGGCTTTGGTAGCTCCGGGATTTTTGGCTTTGGTAGTTCGGGGATTTCTGGCTTTGGCACAATTGGTACCTCAGGCTTTGGCAAAGCTGGAACTTCAGGCTTTTTCATTGCTGGAGGAACCTCGGTCTTTGGCACTGTTGGGATTTCTGGCTTTTTCAGGGGAGGAAGCTCGGGTTTTGGCATTGCTGGGATCTCAGGCTTTGGCACAGCAGGAAGCTCGGGTTTTGGCACAGTTGGGAACTCAGGCTTTGGGGCCACTGGTAACTTAGGCTTGGGCACAGCTGGGATCTCAGGCTTTGGTAAAGTCGGTAACTCGGGCTTCGGGATGGATGGTAGCTCGGGCTTTGGCACAGTTGGTACTTCAGGTTTTGTCATAATAGGAATCTCAGGCTTTGGGACAGCTGGTATTTCAGGCTTTGGTATGGTTGGAAGCTCAGGTTTCGGCACAGTTGGGATCTCAGGCTTTGGCAAGGTTGGAACTTTAGGGAACTCTGGTTTAGGAATCTCGGGGAGGGGCGTCTCTAGAAGACGACGTGCAGTTGCTCCAGTTATCGGGCCATGGATGAAGCACAAGTTGAGAAATGCAAGCAGTAAGAGGGAGGATAGCTGGTAGTGGAGAGCCATTTTTCTGCAAATCCTAGAAGCTTAAAGAAGAATGTTTATAGAATCAATGAAACTCAGATATGTGCTATTGGCTTTAAGTCTATTGCTATATATAGGTTTTAAATGCATGCAAAATAGTAGTTTCAAGATTTTGCTTGTTACGTAAGGACCTAAGTAGTTGAACTTCCCATCCACTTGGCTTCAGGTCTGGTACCTTGAAAAGTCAATTTATTGGATTACCTAATTAACATACTAATAGTCTGAACCTGTCACAAACATCTGGTATGCTGGCAACCTGATAACAATTCCCAGCTTAGCTGTTCTTATTTCTTTAGAAAGAGGAGGAAAATATTTTATTTATAAATCTGTGAATGATCTCTACACTTCTTTATTTCCTCCACACTTCTTCACACATTGAATAAACTATCAATACCCCTATTTATAATAGTATGAAACCTATTTCAACTAGAAACAGGAAAGCCTATTCCTATATTTATTCTAACTACAAATCCTATTTAGACATAAATTAAATAAATCAAATCCTAAATAATTAAGGTATCCTACTACAACTTTGAATTAGTTTTCCAACATTCTCCCGTAATTCAAAGTTGTATAGGTCTGACTTGTCCGCTGTGCAGTTATGTTGGAGCACTTCTCTCCAACTTTCACTTTTGATGAAGCACATGTCTCCATCCTTTGTTGAAGCACCTGTCTTCAACTCAGTTGATGCACTTTGTCACCAACACTCAGTTTTTTGTTGAAGCACCTGTCTCCAACTCACGTTCATGCACTTTGTCACCAACCGTTGATGCACTTTGTCACCAACACCTAATTTTGTTGAAGCTCCTGTCTCCAACTCACGTTGATGCACTTTGTCACCAACAGTTGATGCACTTTGTCATCAACACCTAATTTTTTTTTTGTTTTTTTTGTTTTTTTTTGTTTTTTTTTACTTCTCTCCAACTTTTTAGAGAAGAGCTTCTTCCTCTTGTGCCATATTTGCTTGCAATCTTTTTGCTTATGTCCAAACCTTTTACGGTTAAAACACCTAAGTTTACTTTTAAACCAACAATCCTTCTCAGCATGATTATTTTTCTTGCAGATGCCGCATGGTGGAAATTTTACTTTTCTGGTTGATTCTCTTGGTATCTTTGCAACAAAGGTTTGTTCAGTTATTTTTTCATCTCTAATTTCCCTCCTTTGCTCAACAGCTTGCAAAGCATTGACTAAATTATTAACCGAAATTTTTGAGAGATCTTTAGAATCCTCAAGTGAAGAAATCTTAGATTCAAATTTTCTCAGGTTCATAACCTGCATGGTTTATATATGATTTTGAAAATAAATGTATTACCGATTCTTTAAAATTTCATGTGGGACAAGTTCTTTACTTGATATGATACCGAACAGTTTACTTAAGATGTTTACCGATTAATCTAAATGTTTTCACCGTTACTAGATATGTTATACCGTTACTTGAGATGTTATAATTATTTGAAGTATTCTCACTGTTACTAGACATGTTTTACTGTTACCGAAATAAAATTACAATATTTGATAAGGAATGATATGCCCTTTATTATTTGGAAAATGCTTTTGTATGAGTATTTACTAATTACAAGAAAGAGTATAAATGGGAGGAGACTTTGAAGGATCCCGTAGCTAACGGCGGATTCGTTAGACCTGGTGCACATTGTATTTAGAGATTACCAATTACAGTTATAGCCCTCACTAGTGGGAAGGTAGAACTAGCATACAGTTACAGTTTCCCCTCGAGTAGGGACCTACAGTTATATTTGACTCCTTTTACGAAGGGGTCCACACAGTGATATATATTACATGATACTTTCTTGGAAACCTCCCAAACATAAAGATTTGCTATGAGACAGTGTCTACCGTGTTTATTATAGATTTGTTAAATTGATTTCCGTCACAGGAAGTACATGAATAGACTGATTATATTTACCGTATGTGAGAGGGCATTTTATTTTTATGATAGTTTCTGATTATTATTAAACAGACATGTTTTCTGACTTGTCCCTAATTAAAAAAACGGTTGTGGTTAAGTGTTATTACTCATTGAGCTAGCGACTCACTCCCTGCTATTCTTTTTTACAGAGGCAGCAGTTGGCACGAGCGTGAATTTTGTTAATTAGAGTATACGATTTGATAATTCCTGGTGATCCCCGCACTTGTTCGCGTGGGCAAAGAGTTTATTTATTTGTTATCGTCTTTTCTTATGAACTCTTAGAGTCACTCCATAGTCATTTTTATGGGTGTCATGAGTATTCTTCGTTATTATGGACTTATGTTGAGTATTGCACTTTTTTTTATCAAATTTGGAGATAAATTAAGATTTTTGGTTGTTAGTGGGTTGGTTATTAATGGTGGAGAATTGTTTTGGTTAATTGATATGTTGTTGGTTGTTTGGTTTGATATTAGGATGGTTGGTTGTTGATTTTGAGACAGGAAATTATTTTTGGATAGTCCTAAAATAGGGTAAACTCTGTCCGATATTTTTATAAAATACCGATGAGGCTTACTTGGGGACACTTACTCTTGAGTGCCGGTCATGATCCAAGTTGGGTCGTGACACCACTAGATCACAAAGAAGAATCACTATCCTCCAGAAAGATGGGTGGATTTGACCGAGGGTCACCGCGTACCTCTTGCAGAAGGCGATAATGACCGGGTCTAAGAGACCCAACGTGAAGGGGTAAGTGTAAACACTTAAAAAATCCTCCACGTGGGTAATAATTTCTTCCTCAGGAGAAGGCACGACCACGTGCTTATCGGCCCAGTTGCAATCCTCTTTGACCTTGGAGAGAAGATCATCGGTGATCGAACATATATATCTCAAGACCGGATCGCATCGACCCGGTACCGAGAAAGTTTTTTCGACCTTGAAATCAGCACCGGTCGAGCACCCTCCAGGAACAAACTCTTCAGGGTGTGGTCCCGCTGCAGTCCCGTCGCCGGCAGGTCGTGATGAAGAGGTGGTCTCCTTTTGTGGAACAGTCTTAGAAGTTTTCGCCATTTTAAAGCAGAGATGAAGATGAGGAAATTAAGAAGTTATACTTAGTGGTTTGCAAAAGGTTCAAGAAATCTAGGTACAAAAGTTGGAGAGTGAAGAGATTCTTGAAGAACAAGAGTAGAAGAAGCTTTGAACATAAAGTCTGAATGAATGAAAGTTGGGATATTTATAGTTTGCTAATGACGGTTCAAAACCCATAGTGGCCGACCAACAACTGACACGCATTTAAGGCCTTGGAGACTGGACCGACGGGATGTTTCAGTAACCTTTTGTCGCTTATGTCATGATCTATCGAAACGGGGTTCAGAAGTTCAAATCGTTTCTCGTCATCTTCTCTCCGAAAAAAGAGGGGACTATCTGTATACGGTCGAAACCGGATTAGTCCATTGTATAACCGGCCGAGGCTGAAACGTGTCAGGTCAGAGCTCGAGCCCGGGTTATATCGAATCAAGGCACGAAGTTAAATCGTTGAGCTCGTGACTCCAGGACCGAACAAGATCGAGGGGACTTTGTCGAGCCAAATAATGGAAGGCCGAAATATCCGGGATCGTTTGGAGATCACGGCGGAAATCTCGATCGAAGCAGATAGAAAGGGTCTATGATTAGAGCATGAGTGACATTTCATCAAGAGCTCTTACCAAGGAGAGCTCCCCTACTATAAAAATTTTATCAAGAATAGGACTCCCCTATTATAAAAAGGGAGGTTTGATCATTTGTAAAACACATTGTAATACGCAGCAAAAAGGCAATACACTTTATTTCTAGCTCTTATCATCTTGTTATTCTGTTCTTACATCAGTTGAGGCATTTCTTGGTTCGAGGGTGATCAAATTCTAAGGCCAAGGCTGTTCAATTAGTGTGGTTTGCATTTATTCTCTTAACATCAATTTCAATATTAATCTGCTTTCTTAATTTGTATCAAGTTATATCACGTATCCTTAAAATCGCGTATAAATTCAATTGTTATCCGATTTTAAGGGTAAACAGTCGTAATTGCGAGCCCGCAGTTGCGAACCTGTGGTCGCAATTGCGAACTATTTGTCGTAAATACGATATTTGCAACTGGGTTAAGAGTTGAAATTTCGGGATTTTAGCTCATTCTTTCATATTTTGAACCCTAGACTTGGTGAGAGGCGATTTTTCCAAATTCTAAACTTACACCGAACACCTCTAAACAACTCGAAATCAGCTCAAATTTTGCACACAAGTTTCAAATGACACAACGAATATATTCCAACTTCCGAAATAACAATCCGAGCCTGATAACTCCGAAGTCAACTCCCGGTCAAACCTTTGAATTTTCTAGACCTTCAAATTGCCAACTTTCGCCAAATAGTACCAAAACCTTCTAGAAATATTTAAATGTAAATCCGGGCATATGTTCAAGTCCAAAATCACCATCCGGACCTAACAGAACCATAAAAACTCTTATCCGAGGTCAATTTCACAAAACTCAAACTCGGTCAACCCTTTCAACTTAAAGCTTCCAAATTGAGAATCATCCTTCCAAATCAATCCCGAATCACTCAAAAACCAAAACGACGATACACATAAGTCATTATACACCACATGAAGCTACTCATGACCTCAAACCATTGAACGGAATACAAATGTTCAAAACAATCAGTCGGATCGTTACAGACTACTCATGTGTGCACGGCATCTCCTTCATCTAATTGTCAAAAGTTTGAACATTTCATTGGCCTCAGTTAGTTAAAACAATTTGTCTGCAAAATCGTGTACTGCTCAATAGGCTACTATCCGGATCTAGTAAGTATCACAAATGCAAAATTTTGGTGGTCTTATGATCACTGCCTTGCCTTCTCATTAGACATTTTCTATACTTTATTAGTAATTACGAGTACTATGTGAAAGCAGAATACAAAAGATATGTAAGAGAAAAATCATAAATAATTTCATTCACTACTTATTTGGCAGTAGACCAGTACAGTGCATGACGAACTTTCCTCTGTATAAATGTTTAATTCCCTATGAAGATAGAGAAACAAAATAACGTAGTCATTTTGAAATTAGGAGGATGCAAGGAGCTGCCTGACATTCATAGGCCAAATATCAGGAGAGTTTCCGTCCAGCAGGCGTTTTGCTATGATGATATTAGCTGATTCAGCTGGATGGTATGGATCCCAGAACACATACTTGCTTCTATTTGCACATATTTTAGATGAAGGACCACATGGAATTATTCCCCCAAATCTTCCACCACCAGAACAGCAGGCTGAATTTGCATTCTCAAATCCTGCATATAAAAATATCCACCATCAAATTATATTACCTGAATCTTGAAAATTTGACCTAATATCTTGATATGCCCGGAGAAATGGGGCTAGAGTTTGGCTAAAACTATTCCGTTATCTTATTAAACCACTTCGGCCTAGTTGGGGCTACGTGCTGCACCAAACTAATAAATGAGCTAGCGTTCACGTCATGCCCTATGCTACAACATTACTTGAGCTTTAAGTGCATTCATTTGGTGCGAGCCATGGAAACAGCCTCTTGTAGAAATGTAGGGTAAGGCTGCATACGATATACCCTTATGGTCCGGCTCTTCCCGAACCCCGTGCATAGCGGGAGCTTAGTGCACCGGAACTTGGTGCGAGTAGGTGTTTTACCTAGGGCAGGCCTGATTTCACGATCCACATATTATTGAAGACACGATAAAACATATGGGTTTCTAATTAATCTTTGATAGTAGAACTCACCATAAGATGAGTAATTCTGAATGATGTCTTGGACGATTCCGTAGGCATCTGCATAGACAAACTTTGATCCAGTAAGTTTGGAACTTAGTTCACTCACAAGCCCTCTCAATTGGGTGTTGTATAATTGCGCAAGCGCATTTGGGAAATTTACGCACTTATCTCCGGCTGATAGATTTATAGCCCTTTGGTAGGGGATACACCCAATAGGCCCAACATTCACCACTATTACTTTCCTGGCACCCAAATTATAAAGTCTCTGCATATGCAAGAATCATCATGTCAGCATTCTACTTTGTGTTATAGCACTTGTAGTAGTCAACTTTAATAAATTCATAATTTACCGTTAGTTGAATTCTGTATTTGGATATCATTGCTCCCACAAATTTCATTGGAGGTACAGTTAGTTGCTTAGGTGTGGAGACAACAGGCGTGAGATAATTGTTGATGAAGTCATTTGATCCCATCGTTACTGAGAAGAGTGAATTCTCAATCAACTTTATTGCCGCTGGCTCTCCAATTCTTGTGATTATGTCCTGTCTAGTATTTGCAAAATTGTCTAATTGAGCATCCATGTTGATCCTTCCACCCTACCAATATTTAGAAAAAAAAACCCCATTTTAATCAATATCCAATCAAACACACAAAAAGAAAAACAAATCTTGGAGCACTCTCATCTGATGTTACATAATCCTCCTTTTGACTTGACATACTCGTGGCATAACAGACCTAACATGATTTTATGACTACTCAATGCACATCCTTCACAAAACATATTGGAACAAAACAAAAAAAATTACATATTCTCGTATCGCATACTACTTGTTGAGATAAGTTATACCAAGATTTTGATATAAAATAATACTGGTTATAAATAATACCTCAATCAAATACAAATAAATTTAATCCCTTATATCGAAATAACCCACCTAATCATTTGAATCAAACGGCCACTCAATTAAACAATACATGCCTAACATTTCAAAACGCACGTTTTCCACGTTTTGCAAGTGTTAGATACAGAGGTATACAAAAGCATTGAGAATAATAACGAAAAATTCAACCTATATAAAATCGGGGAAAATTAAGGACTTACAAAAATTTGGCCAGATTCATTAAGAATGCCTCCTCCTCCAGAAGCATAATTGACACCTTGCAGAACCACTGGACCAGATGTTGTTGGAGCTAAGTATGGAGGAGTCAAATTAAATCCCAGTTCCTCACCTGCAAATCCATTCAAATAAAATCATCCAAAATAAGAAGAAGAAAAAAAAAATAATAATAATAATAATAATACTAAATAAAGGGAGAGATTTTGAGCAAGATTAAACTTGCCTAAAATGTCCACTATAGTTCTTCCATTTGTATATCTTCCTGTTGGGGCACCAAAATCAATACCATTTGGGTAGAAATTTGCTTTTGAAAGAGAAGCAATATAGTTATTGTTACCCACATCAACCAATGAATCTCCAAAGACAAAATTAGCAGGGACATTTTCTGCCAAACAGATGGTCAAGTTCTGAAGCAAAACTACCAAAATCGCCAACCTATAATATGATGGATTTCCCATCTCAAACACCTAGAGATAAAGCTAAGAATGTTGAGGCTTCTTTCAGTAGGAGAAAGCAAGTTCTGTTAAATGGACCAACAAGGCAAATCAAGGACACACACACCAATAGAAAGAGGCAAAATTGTAGAGAATTAAAAGCAAATAAGCTTTTAGCTCACAATTTCAGTGGACATAACTATAGTCACTATATTACTTATTAGGATGGGCCAGCAAACAATTAAAAGAAGAACAGTTTATAGCTCATATATTATAACTAAACCTATGAAATTAGGATGGGCTAGAAATCCCTCACAGCTAGGCTTAACTCAACAATATGATAAAAGTATAGAAAACGGAGCTTGAAATAGATATAACAAGCATAGTGTGAAAGTTGGTGGAGAAGAACTCATTAAATGCCTAGCAGAATCAGCACTACCAATCAGAGAAATTTCTGATATGTTGGAGCCAATCTTGAGCCAGAATGCAATCGCCAAAAGAGAAACAGAACCAATAAATATTACTCTCCTACTAGGGGATTTCTGTCCAAGTTCAAAATTTTATAACTTTTGTTGGTGGTAAGAAAATAAATTATGCAACTGCCAACCTTCAGATTCTGAACCAATTGGATGGCACAGTACGTGCAATTGAATGCAGTCACTTAATTTTACAGTATGGATAGTACTTAATACTTTTAACTTACAAATTCCACCAAGTTGACACCGACTCATGTTTTTATTCATAGAATTACTCGGGGCATTTGCATTTATACCCGCTTTTTGGGTCACGTTTTAACTTGTGCCCGCTTTGCAAAAAAAATTGCAAGCGTACCCACTTTTTCGCGTAACTTCAGCATAGGGGGCTGAAGTAGCAAAGGCTATCACGCAAAACTTAGCATTCTAGTAGACGGGCCTGAAGTAGCAAAAATTGCTCAACCAAGTGTGCTGAAGTTTTTGTGTGTAATTGCTGAACTTAAGCATTCTAGTAGCTCAGTTTTGGTGATGCTAAAGTTATTTAGTTTATTTGTAACAACTTCAATACTAAATACGCTAAAGTTTTTTTGTCTTGGATAAGCTTTTTCAAAAACTTCAGCAGAAGATGCTTTAGTTCATTTGTAAAAATTTCAGCACTAAATAAGCTGAAGTCTTTTTGTCCTGGATAAGCTTTTTCAAAAACTTCAGCAGAAGATGCTGAAGTTATTTAGTTCATTTGTAAATATTTCAGCACTATATAAGCTGAATTTTTTGAAAAAGCTTATATAGTTTTTTGACCCATACAATCACTATATTGGATCTTCATTTTTTTCTTCTTTCTGAACGTTTTTATGGAGCAGATCAGTAATTACATTAGAAAAAGGTGCCTTCAGTGGAAATAAATAAAATAATCATAAAGTCTAAGTGATATAAAGTGAAACTATTACTTTAACCCCACAGATCAATTTATTTGATTCAAAGAAAAAAAGATTACATCAAAAATGAAGACCAGATGCTAACCTGTGTTATCTTACTAAAAATATGTTAAGAAAACGAAGGAGGAGAAGGAGGAGGAGAAAGGGGGCTGAAATTGTTTTAAAAGTGGGTACAAGTTAAAACTTTTAAAAAAAATGGGTATATGTTAAATGGGGGCGACCAAATAGGGCGCCCCATGCAATTTTTACGAATTACTCCCTCCAGTCCACAATAAGTGACCAATTTGCTTTTTTATTTTGGTCTAAAATAAGTGTCCATTTATATAATCAAGAAAGAATTCAATTTGTTTTTACAAAATTACCCTTATGTACATATCCCTTAAAAATTTTCTTACTCCTCACATTAAATATTTAATTAAGGGTAGTTTAGTCATACTAGGTATTTTTGTATAGAATTTAGTATTTTCTTAATGGGCGTGCCAAAAGTAAATTGGTCACTTATTGTGAACCGAAGAGAGTATTAACAGAATCTTGAAAATCTTAAAAGAAAACTGCAGTTCCCCTTGGTGTGAATCTCTGAGGCATATCCCTGTATGGGTCAAAATCTGACCATACGTGGATAGCGCTAACAGAAATGGTAAGAGGTCAACTACGCCGTGGTCATACCCACAGGGTGTAATAACAATGAATACCTCGGCCGCTGCCGAGATCGAGCCATCCAAAATCCTGTATGACTGATGGACAAAAAGAAAAACTGATAATATATATAGGAGGTAAGAAGACAAGAAAAAGGGGGCTTCCTCTTCGGGAGAAAGGGGAATAACAGAAGACCAAGAAAACTCTTAGATAGCAAATATAAATCTTTGTAATCGTGATTGTTGAATCAAGGAAACTAGATCTCGTTACTGCCAATAGCATTCCATCTTTTCCGTTATTATCACCTCATTACGGGATGATATGTCAAGAATATAAGCCTATCATCTATATTTGATATTTTATATGATACCGGAAAATTTATAATTTTGATTGTATCTGATTCTCTTACCTGATGTGCTTAGATCTAGAGTTAATTATCCTTGGATAAGATTTATCCTCCATTTTCTTCATTAATTAGTTTAACAAAAAGCTTAACACTATTTGGTCAAACAAGTATCTGACGATACGTGGATTAGCACTAACAGAAATGGTAAGAGGTCGCCGTGGTCGTACCCACGGGGTATAATAACAGCGAATACCTCGGCCGCTGCCGAGATTGAGCCATCAAAAAGCATGTATGGTGAAGTAAATATTGTGGTATTTGAGAGAGCCGACATGAGGGACAATCAAGGGATGAAGGCATTTTGGTTAAGGACCGATAGACAAAAGGGAATACCGATAAGGAAACTAGATCTCGTTACTGCCAATAGCATTCCATCTTTTCCGTTATTATCACCACATTACGGGATGATATGTCAAGAATGTAAGCCTATCATTTATATATTATATTTTATATGATGGCAGAAAATTTATACTCCCTCTGTTCCAGTTTATGTGAACCTATTTTCTTTTGGTCCGTTCCAAAAAGAATGACCCCTTTCTAAATTTGGTAACAATTTAGCTTAAACTTACAATTCTACCCTTAATGAGAAGCTTTTATAACCACGCAAATACTTTGGGCCCCTTTTTGACTTGCAATTCCAAAAGTCTTCATTTTTTCTTAAACTCCGTGCCCAGTCAAACAAGTCCACATAAATTGGAACAGCGGTAGTAAGTTTGATTATATCTGATTCTCTTACCTGATGTGCTTAGATCTAGAGTTAATTATCCTTGGCTAAGATGTATCCTCTATTTTCTTCATTAATTAGTTTAACAAAAGGCTTAACACTTTTTGGTCAAACAAGTATGGGTCAAAATCTGACCATACGTGGATTAGCGCTAACAGAAATGGTAAGAGGTCAACTACGCCGTGGTCGTATCCACAGGGTGTAATAACAACGAATACCTCGGCCGCTGCCGAGATCGAGCCATCAAAAAGCTTGTATGGTGAAGTAAATATCGTGGTATTTGAGGGAGCCGACGTGAGGGACAATCAAGGGATGAAGGAATTCTGGTTAAGGACCGATGGACAAAAGGGAATATTGATAATAAATATAGGAGGTAAGAAGACAAGAAAAAGGGGGGGGGGCTTCCTCTCCAGGAGAAAAGAGAAGAACAGAAGACCAAGAAAACCCTTAGATAACAAATACAAATCTCTGTAACCGTGATTGTTGAATCAAGGAAACTAGATCTTGTTACTGCCAATAACATTCCATCTTTTCCGTTATTATCACCACATTACAGGGTGATATGTCAAGAATGTAAGCCTATCATCTATATTTGATATTTTATATGATACCGGAAATTTATAAGTTTGATTATATTTGATTCTCTTACCCGATGTGCTTAGATCTAGAGTTAGTTATCCTTGGTTAAGATTTATCCTCTATTTTCTTCATTAATTAGTTTAAGAAAAGGCTTAACATTTTTTGGTCAAACAATGCCTAATGTTCATTTCAAGTAGAGCTTCACATTATCACTTTCGCAAATTGGTGAAAGTATCTATTTGATCATCATTATACTTTTTGTTCACATTTATCTAACCCTAAATTTAAGAGCTAATACTCGAAAACCCCTTAAACTATCATGTTTTTATCAGTTTTCTATTTAAATTATTCGGTACCCCCCTAAACTATATTACCCTTCATATTTTAACCCCATCATTACTTAACTGGCATAACATGTGTAGTGTGACAGTTGAAACAAGGGAAACTACCAGCTATGTCCATTTATAAGTAGATCATTACGAAAATTGGCCAATTTATAAAATATTACTAACATTAGCCAATTAGCTATTTGTAGCGGAAAAAAAATGCCAAATTTTTGCTTTCTTTTAAATGGGTGTTATTGAAATAGATTGGGTACATCTTAAGGAGCTTGAATCTCAGTTTTGGGATGATTTGGTGAAGTTTTGAGGTGGTTTGAATTAAAAATTTGAAGTAAAAACTAAACCTGAAAAAAATGATATGTGTATCATACGGCGCATCATTTGCGTATCACATATGTATCATATTTGTATCAATTGTGTATCACATGTATATCTGTGTGTGAGATACATGCGTGATACATGTTTGATACATGTGTCGCAGAACAATTTTTTGAATTACAATTATTGATACAAAATTAGTCCAAATCACCTCCAATCTTCCTCAAATTTTGTATATTGACTTATCTATATGTTTTCAATGAATTTCAACTATACCCATTGAAAATTTTTCTTTTTTGCTTAGATTTTTAAAATATTGTATATATTATTTTTTGATATTTCATCACCTTATTTGCTACCTCGTTCATGAAATTTCCTTTCTGTCTTGCATCTAATTTTTCTAATCACGTTTAAAAATATGGAAAGAGAATTTTGCATGTGATTCTTTGAGAAAAAGAACCTTATTTATTTGATTTTTCAATTTTTATATGTGCTTGGCTAGTTTTGGTAAGTCTATGACTAATGGCTAGAGGTTGGTAAGTTGAGACTTATTTGTTAAAATAGCACGGTATAACCAGTTTTCGGACTGGTCATTCAAAAATAGCCAGCGTTTACCAAGTCAATGAAAAATAGCCACTATTTTGCTGCAACAGAGACCGGTCCAGCATAATATACTGGAGTTCGGTGTACCTGTGTATGAACTCCAGCATATTATGCTGGACTGGTATACTTTGCTGGCTCCAGTATAATATACTGGAGACTAGAGCATCGGTGCTCCAAACTCCAGTATATTATGCTGGACCGGTATACTTGCTGGAACTCCAGTATATTATACTAGAGTTCTAGTGTACTTATGCTGGAACTCCATCATATTATGCTGGAGTTCCAGTATACTTATCTTGGAACTCCAGTATAATATGCTGGAGTTCAAGTATACTTATGCTGGAACTCCAGCATAATATGCTGGCGTATTTTTCGGGTTTTGAACAGTGTTTTCGCTCAGATTTATCTTTACATGAAAAGTGGCTAAATATCGATTACTTTTGAAACTGGGCTATTTTTGAACGACCAGTTGTAATCTGGTTATTTTTGAATTTCACCCGACTTATTTGGGACATTTGTGTAAGTTTCCCTTGAAAAACCCCATCAAAATGGCCCACCTACAAAATATAATAGCTAATTAGCCTAACTCTCTTTCAAATTTATTTATTTTATGAATATTCTCCTTATTTCAGTTATATCCACCTTTGTTCCTCATTTTTTCACCATTCTTCCTTATTTTTTTCACATTTCTTTTTTATTTTGCACCTTCTTATTCATCTTTTTAACCTTTTTTCTTCAGTTCTCCATATGGGTCTCCCTCTCTTGTTTCCTTTAAAATAATTTATTCTATTTCTTGTTTTAGTCTTCTTTTATGCCTTACACATACTGTTGAAAGAACACTAAAATCTTCTTATTAAACTCATCACTTTGTAGAGAATAAAGTTCTCTTGAACCTTCTTTGTGTAATCTGGAATAAGAGAATGTAATTACTAGCCAATTAATTTTTTATTTGTAAAATTTTATTTTGTATAGTTTTTTTATGTAATATAAGATGATTTTTAAGAAATGCAACACTACATGCCTTTTATTTATATTTTTATGTGTTGCAAAGTGAATATTAATAAGGACTTATTCAATTGGAGTCTAGCATAAAGCACAATCACAATTGAACATAAAATTAACACAGTACGTTAGATATTATTTTGGTCTAAATTCCTAGAATTAATTAGTCATCCGAGAGTAATACATCTGGAATAAACTATATAAAATACTTTGTACAAACCATAAGTTAATATAGTTAGACAGACCCACCTTTAAGATTCCAAAATAGGGTTTTAATATATAAAGGGAATATAGTTCAGGGGGATTTCGGAGACACCAGATAGTTTAAATAGGTAACTAACAAAAAAGTGATAGTTTAGGTGGGCTATAGGCTAGTTAATTAGCAATGTGTAGTGCTACATGGCACGTTTTTTTTAGATAAACTAGTATTAGGATGCGCGTTGCGCGTGTACCTTGTCTTAATAAATATATATTTGTGAAAATTTACATAAATAGTACGTATTATATTAACAAATAACGTTTGAGTTATAAAATAAAAGTTAAAAAAATGTGAGTTCCTAAAAATGACGAGCATTGATCATTAACTAACTCAACAAATAAAGAAACAATGACAATAGAAGTCCTCAATCATCTTAGTCAATATTTGTTCCAGCTTTGTAATTTCATTAGTGCAATTTCACAAGTTATCGTGCTTCCTTTTTTACTTTCACCAAGAATACATAAACTCTGGATAATTTAAGAGGTTTTTCTTTTTTGAAATCCTTTTGAAAAGTATATACTCTCAAGTTTATTTTAGAAAACACAAACGGAGTCAGTTAACTGACAAAATGTATTTTTTTCACAAACAAAATGTAAATTATCTATTTCTTTAATTAAAAAAGTACTATAGAAATTATAATTTAACCCAAGAAAAAGAAATAAATTATGAGGATTCAAGGGCGGCCAGAGGGTAAAGCCACTAAAGCGGTGGCTTTAGGCCACACAATTTTTGGGGGCCCAAATTTTTATTTCCCAATTCTTATTTGATTTCCGATATTTAATTTGGGACATTGATTAACTCAAATTTGTACCATGTAAAATCCATTAAAGTGGGAACTATTCCTTATATGGGATTTTTTCGTTCCAAATACTGAAGCCGAATACTTCCGATTAAAGAAGGAGATATGCTATCCATCCCACCACAACTCTTCTCGTGAGGCCCCAAATCTTCTGAAGAAAATATTAAGTATTTCAAAGTAGAAACGTAAAATATTTTATATAAAAAAAGGATTACATTAGTCATTAGAAAATATGTAACACACTTTTAAACTCTTTTTTTTTTTCCTAAGGTTTTCTTCATTGCAACAAGAATTTAAGAATATTGAAACATCAAAAAATTCTTTTAATACAAAGTTATCAACTTCTTGAATCATGTTCTATTACTTAAGATCATACCGCACATGAGAGATTAAATGGTTTATGCGAAAAACTTTAAGTAATTTTATTCTCAAAAAGTTAGAAAAATCTACTTCAACTAAAAATATATATGATTGTTTTAAAAGGGCCTCACGTTAAAGTTTGGCTTTAGGCCACCAAACTTATTGAGCCGCCCCTGTGAGGATTTGACCAAACAAGCTGTATGTTTGCGAGATAAGGGTGTCGAACATTATCAAGGAGATTAACGTCTTATATTCAATTGGAAAAATATAAAGGTGCAGATCTAGACGACATATTTTAGATCTGTAGCAATTATTATTGACATCCATATTCCAAAATTATAAATTCTTAGTGACATCCATATTCCTAGCATCTCCGATAATGAGTCCAATTTCATCTTCTTCTTTTTATAATTTTGAGTCATGCACTCTATCAACTGTACCTTGTTATATCTTTATAAACGATTACTTTTTAGTAAATAGTTAAGTCTTATGTTTCTAATTTTATGTTAAAAAGATTCGTTAGATCATTTTGCAAAAGTTCACAAAAATTTAACGTGCTAAGCACTAATATTTTTGTGAACTTTTGCAAAATGATCAAACGAATCTTTTTAACATAAAA